CTTCCTCCCTGTGACCAGAGTTCAAAAACCCTCAGTGAATATCTAATGGGGAAAATCTGGAGTCATCACTAAGAAATGAAAACCTGTAATGAAGCAAATTCATTATAGCAGTCACATGGTAAAGTGGATAGAGTGCTGGGCTTGCAATGAGGAAGACTCATCTTCATGAGTTCAAATCCAGACTCAGGCACTTACTAGCTATGTGACCCTGGTCAAGTCACTTATCCCTGTTTGCCTCCATTTCCTCATCTATAAAATGAGCTAGAGAAGGAAATGGTAAGCCACTCCAGTATCTCTGCCAAGAAAATCCCAAATGGGGTCACAAAGAATCAGACGCAACTAAAAAAGGACTAAACAACAACAAATGAAGTAAGGTAAACAGATGCTCTCTGAAACACACAGCCTTGTCCTTTCTAGATTCTACACAGAATCTGTTCTCAACTTTTAAAATCTGTTCCTCCATCAAATGCGGAAAGTGTGCTGGATTTGGAATCAGAGAACTTTAGTTCAAATCCCAGCTCTACTACTAATTACCTGTATCACCCTGGGCAAGTTCCTTTATCTCCCTGGGACCCAATTTTCTCTGTTATAAAATGAGGAGATGAGACTATAGGTAGCTACTAAGGCCCATTTGGGCTAGCAATCTATGACCTCATTTAATCCTTACTACTCTAGGATAATTGCCATGTGTGATATCATTATCCCTGTTTGGCATATAGGGAAACTAAACCATGGAGGAGGTGTCCACCTTTGCCATTATCAACAAAACACCCAGAGGACTTTGCTAGGATTTGGGGGGAAAAAAAACAAAAAAGGCTAGAATTTGCTCCTGCTTTAGGAGTAAGAATATCATTTGTAACAACACTCTGCCTTTTATAGTGTGGCCTTTCAAGGTTTCATGATGAGTGTCTTGCTCTCATATATATCTCAAAGATCACCTTCATGCTGGTGGAAGAAAAACATGAAGGCAGCACCTTAGGCCAGAGATTTGCCTTCCCTGCCTCTCTACATGTGTTCCAGGTACTAAGAAATATGGTATCAAATAACAGGTTTCAAGAGTCTAGGCTTTTGTAAATAACACTCAATGTCCTTCCTGTTACTAAATAGATATAGGACTGCAGGGAGCCTATTTTGTTTTAGGAAAATAAATTCACAAATGGAATTCTTCTGCCTTCAAGAATGAACCTACCTGTAAAAGTAAGTCATAATTTACTTCCTTTTTTTTTTTATAAAGGAGGCTTCCTGGGAAGGATTTCCTAAGTCACCACTAAAAAAAATTTGTTCAGTAAATTAATGTAACATTTAAAGCTTTTTAAATGGAGAATAATGAAATGTTATTATGCTATAAAAATGAAGACAAAGATGATTTCAAAGAATCATAGGAAGACTTGTGTGAATTGATACAGGGTGAAGAAGTAAACAAAAACAAGAACAACTTGTAAAATCAATATTGCAAAATAAACAATTTTTAAAGAACAGTTTTAAAAACTCTGATCAACTAAATGATTAACCATGTTTCCAGAGAACTGAGAAAGAAAAGACACTGCCCATGTCATGACAGAGAGATGGTGGACTAATTTGAAGAATAAGAAACACATTTTCAGGTATGACCAGTGTGGCAATTTGTTTTTAGTGTTCTTTGGTGATACAAGGTTTCTGTATTTCCCAAAAGATGGAGGTGAGAAGGGAGATAGGTAAAACAGAGAAAAAGGAGAAAAAAGAGAAAAAGAAAAAGAGAAAAAATGACTTTTAACTTTGAAATTAAAATACACAAAAATAAAACTTTTAAAAATGCCTAAAAGATATTAATACTACATGTCCTGTGGTTGGGCAAGGTAAACCAATTTTTAAAATAATTTATTTAATGGAGTACAAAAACTGTCTGAAAAGTGATGGAATAGATGCCGACAACCCCACAGTTGAGTGTTTTGTCAATCCACTGCATGCTAAGCCTTTGCATTTACACCTGTCAAACCTAGGTTGGTCAAAGAAGCTGGCACTGTCTACGGATTGCAATTATACTTCTAGCCACCCAGGAGTTGGTGCCACTCCAAATCCAGAAGGAAAAAGAACCATCTTTCATCACGTGATCTGAGTTATGAGGTACCTCGGAGGCTATCTAGCCCAACACATACCTAGATATCTATCTACAAATGTCCACAAAAAGCAGTTAAACTAATCTGAGCAAAGTGGAACTCACTATCTGCTTCAACAGCCCATTCTACTGGGGGATAAACCTCATTCTCAGGAATTCTTTTTCTTTACATTGACTTAAATATGCCTTTCCAGAACTTCCATTGACTGTTGCCCTCTGGATCCAAGTAAATCTAATCACAATTCTGTCTGCCAGCTCTTCATATACTTCAAAAGAACTAGTGTATTCAACTACCCAAAAAACAAACAAAAATTCTTTTCCCCTGACTAAAAATCCCCACACTTCTTTCAACTGATCCTTGCAAGGCATGGTCTCAAGACTCTTTACTATCCTGATCATTTGCCTTTTGGATACTATACATTTGTCAATATCCTTCTTAAAGTGTGACATCTTTTTACTATTTTTACATTTTTGTTATCTTTATTTTTATTATTTACAATATATACTATGTCACAGAAATGCTTATTTTGTTCCATAAATTAAAAATAAAATGAATTTTTAAAAATATGGCTCTAAGACTGAACATAAATATTCCAGATGTGGTTTGATCAAGGCAGAATGCAGTGAGATTCAAGACTACACATTTTTTTCAGCAACATAATATGTGGTAGAGGGGATAGCTATTGCTAATGCCACAAAGCAATAGTTCCATGTAGAGATGAAGAAAGGGGGCCAATGGCAAGGCTATGGTACAGTAACAAAACATCAGAAGCATGCATAAGGTCCATTGATAGTGGGTGAAAAAGGCAGAGTTTTATAATCAGGATGCCAGGTAAGGACCCAAGAATGCCAAAGCCAAAGTCCAGGGTGAGATCAGTCCAGGGCAAAAAACAGCACATGGCACACTGTCACAGAGATCAGGTTGAAAAGTGGAACAATATTCTAGACAGGTAAACTGGAAGGCTATTATCAGGTTATGAGTAACCCCTGAAACCTAAAGATGAGAGTAGGTAAAATTCTCTTAAGGGGGAAATTTTAAGGCTAGCAGTTGAAGACAGATGCTAATATAGAAGAGCAGGCAAACAACAACACCTGGACCTTTGAGTGCCTCAGTAAGGGCTGGGGAACCGGTGGAAACCAGCTCAGAAAACCACCAGGTGCCTCGGCACTGTACCACAAAGGAATCTCCCAGTGCATTAGCAGAAACCAGGGAGGCAGCATTACAAGGGGCCCCAGGCAGACAAACACCCTGCAGCACCCATCTAAAAGGAGCTGAAGAAAGCTAAAGGAAAGGAAAAGCAGGCAACCTAGAATTGCCTGAAAGTTCCAGCCTGGCTAATTCCAGCCCAACATGAGGTAAGCTGCCAAAACCCTACAGCCTCTGATTGCCAACCTAAGAGGCCCCCAGCACACAAAGCCAGAGACCAAGACCTAGGCTCCCAACACAAGAAGCTTGGGTCAGTGCCCTCTGTTCCCCAGCAGGAGAGCTCAATCTCTTTAAAGGCCAGGGAATAAAGAAACATCATGAGTAAAAAGAAACGTACCATAGATTCATATTATAAGAAGAGTGAAGATCAAGACAAAAATTCTGAAGAGGACAACATTGTCAACAAACCCACATCTGCAACATCAAAAGGGAATATGAACTGGTCTGAAGACCAAAAAGCCTTCTTAGAAGAGCTCAAGAAGGATATTCTGTAAGGCAAAGGAGATTGGATTGCAGCCAAGGATCAACTGTCTTGCAAAATGAGCATGATTTTTCAAGGGAGGAGATGGATATTCAATGAAATAGGGGACTTCCAAACCTTCCTCATAAAAACACCAGAGGTTAACAAAAAAATTGATCTTCAAGTACAAGATTCAAGAAAGACATAAAAAGGTAAATGGGACAGAAAGATACAATATGTTGTCAATAAAGGCGGACTGTTTACATCCCTACAAGGGAAGATGACACTTGCAACTCTTGAGAACTGTATTGTTATTATGCCATGTTAAAGGAGTATACATAAAGGGGGTGGATAATAGATGACTTTGATGTAATGATAAAAAAAAATCTAATCAAGTGGGTTAAATGGATCCAAGTAAGTGGATTAGTCTAATTTTAGAAAATGTTCTGAGAAAGGAGGAGGCAGACAAGAGTAAATTACATTATAGGAAAAGACGCAAAATCCTATTACAACAGAAAGAAAGAAGGGAGGGGGGTGGACTTTGTTTGAACCTTACTGTCATCAGATTTGGCTCAAGAAGGTAATAACATAATCAATTAGGTATAGAAATCTAACTTGCCCCATAGGCAGTAGGAGGAAAAAGGGGAAAGAAAAGGGAGAGGGGATAGAAGGGAGGGAAGAAGCAGTAAGGCTAAAGGGTGAGAAAAGGGAAAGGGAGGGAGGGACTGAGGGAGGCAATGGTCAAAAGCAAAACACTAGTGAGTAATTTTTACTTACTAATGTGAAAATATGTTTAATAGGAATGTAAATGTATAGCCTGTATCAGATTGTGTGCCGTCTTGGGGAGGGAGGGGGAGAAAAATGTTAAACTCAAAAGCATATGGAAGTGATTGTTGATAAATCAAAATAAATTAATAAAAAGAAAAAAAAAGAAATTGTGCTAGACTGGGAGTCAGGAGACTTGATTTCTAGTCTTGGCTGGGTCACTAATTGTTTAGCTTTTAGCAAGTCATTTCCCTTAATTTTGCCTCAGTTTCCTCATCTATAAAATGAGGAGGTAGGGCTAGATGATCTCTTAAGTCCCTTCTAGCTCTAGAATTCTATGATTCTAATATCAGATTATTATTAGTACAAAGAGAAAGTTCACATCTATAGAAAAGTACTTCATAAATTTTAAAGTTCAATAAAATATGAACAATTATTAATAAATACAACAAAAACAATGGATAGCTACTTACCCATTCTCAGCAGCACTAACAATATATGGCTGTTTTTCGAATTCTCTTGCTTTTGCCAAACATGTTATAGAAGCAGTATGACCAAAGAGAAGCTCTTTAGCTGAGATCTACAATTGGCAACATGAATTACTGTTACATAATTATATCTGGTCATAATCAATAAAAACACACTAGATTTTTACATAATGGTGGTGCTGTGGATAGAGCACCAGGCCAGGCAACAGGAAGACTTGTGTTCAAATCCAGCCTCAGATATTTCCTAGCTGTGTGACCTGGGCAAGTCATTTAGCCCTTATTTACCTCAGTTTCCTCATCTATAAAATGAGGATAATAATTGCATCTACATCCTATGGTTGCTATGAGGATCAGATGAGATAATCATCATAAAGTGTTTAGCACAGTACCTGGCACATAGTAAGTGCTATATAAATGCTAGCTATTATTATTAATATCAAATATCAGAACCCTTTTATTAGTCCTAATGCTGGGAAATATCAGTGTTAGCTATTTTGTCTTTAGTTCATGTAGTTAGATTTAAGAAAGTTTAATTTGACCTATATAGCATATCTAAATCCATATGATGAGCTGCCTCATGAGGTCCTAATGTATGCTTTTGCATTTGTAATGAAATATTGTTTTTATCACTCTTCAAATCTTAAAGCACTATGTAAATGCTAGCTATTATTAGCTATTTTTCTGTGAGAGTAGGTTTTCATCAACATTTCTGGGATATTCAGTCTCTGTCTCTGCTCATTAAGTATGACTATGCCTTTTTTCTTTTTCTTTTTTTAGTCCATCTTGTGATTCTACCCATGAATTCTGCTGCCAATGAGGAACTTTTCACAATGTAGATTGGCAACTTTTCTGTAACTTAAAGTACTAGAGAGTTGTCTATTACTTTTCCAATGTCATAAAGCCAGCATGGATTAGATTTGGGACTTAAACTTGGGTCTTTTTGGCTCCGGGGGCAGTTCTCTATCCACTATTCTATATTACTTCTTGGCTATATCAATCAATGAAAGTAATATATTATGATATATATATTTCACAATTTGATATGTTTACACTTTAACACTTAAAAAGCAAAATAAAAACTACAAACCAATCTCTACATTGCCATTATGACTTCAACAAGAAATATTAAAAGAAAACATTCAATGTAAGAATGAAAGTCTAAATGATATTTCATTAAGATTCTCTATTTCTCTATTTTAAGAAACATTTTCTCACTCAAATATTCAGATAAAATCTATAACACTAAAATTTCATAGGTAATTACCATAATTGTTTCCAATGGAGGCAGTACAGTACATGGAAATCTCCCTAGCTGGGGAGTTGAAGGACCTGCATTTAAATTCCACCTCTGATTCTTGCTACCTGTGTGACCTGGAATAAGTCACGTAACCCCTTTGGTCCCATTAGCTCATCTGTAAAATGCAGATAAAGGGAGGGGTTATAAGCTCCAAGGTCCTTTCCGGCTCTAAATCTATGGTCCTATGAAATCACTTAGGTAATTTTTCCATGTATCAAAGAAACCTACCTTCAGTATTAAAAAAAAATGGAAGGGAGAGAATATAAAAGTTAAACTACAAGTAAGAAAAATCACACAAAAACTTCTGAAATAGAAAGGGAGTTGTCAGCACACGACCACCTTAAATAATGAAAGGTTCCAAATTTCAGAATTAAAAGATCACCTTTTCCTCATGAACCAGTGTTCTCTAAGTCCTTTATCTAATCCAGAAAAATATTTGAAATGATGCTATCTCAGCCACGTTCATGAAAGGATTAGAATCACTGTGTTGTTTACAATGATCAAAGGTAAGATTCAAGCCAAGTCACCCTATTAATGTCATATCTTTTCTGTGGAAGCCAGGATACTCTTACAGATACAGGCACACACATTCTGCCAGCAATCATACTTACAAGACCCATTCACCTTTGGATTTATTCCTTTTAGCAGCCTACTGAAGCTCAGCCTGAGCAGTGGATCAGGGCACATCATGAGGAAAATTTGCTTTCTTTTCTACTAGTTGACTCTTAGGGGACAAACCACTCTATGGGCTAAGTAACAACCTGACACTCAGCTGCCATTCAGAAGTAATCTTCTCTCTGCCAGCAACCTCGGACAAGTCACACAACTTTACTTAGGATCACAGATCATAGATTTAGAGCTGAAAGTGACTAGAGGGCATTTAATCCAACCCCTTCACTTTATAGATGCCAAAAGTGAAGCCCAGAGATAATAAGAAATGTCCTTGAGATCAAACAGATTGAGAGAATCAGAGCCAGGGTTTGAACACAGGTTTCTCTTGACTCCAAATCCTTCATCCTCTATGCTGCAACAATTGCCCGTCAGTTTATTTCTTCTCAAGGTCACATGAAAAGAGTTTCTTTAAATAACAAATACCTGCCATATTATTAAAGAGCAAATTATCCATATTAGATAGCAAAATATCTGTTACATATTTTAAAGTGTTTTGTTAATCAAGATTAATGGTAAATTATAGATCCCTCTAAGGAAGAGGTCTCCAAAATACTCCTTTAGAGTATAGCTGAATGAGATTAAAATATAGTTGGGAAATAGTTAAAATAAAAATGTAATACAAAGATGATGTTAACATATAGTTTTCTAAGTCAATATTCCCACCCATCCCTATCCCCCTGCTTGGAACTTTAGGTTTCTAATTGAGGTTGACACCACTTCATTATTTCAAAGTTCCTCTATAGATGACCAATGAGGCATCAGGACTACAGCATCTAACTCATCCTTCTTCTACCTGAGTGATTAAGAAACTGAGATGTTTAACTTAGCTCTGGGCAGGGCTTCCATTTAGCCTCTGGAGCTGGGCACCTGGAAAGGCTTTTGGGCCATCCTGGCCCTTAAGATAGGTAACAACTAATGAACAAACATTTTTTTTAACAACCTATTTCATTCCAGATATTGTGCTAGGCTCTGGAGATAATAAAAACACAACAATGATATAGTCTCTGACCTCAAAAAGCTTTTATTCTACTGGGAGGGATACAATATGTTCACATATAAGTAGATATAAGATCTTACAAAATGAATCCACGGTGATAGGAGTCACTAAAAACTGGTGGAATCATTAAAGTGGGCAACACTTTAAGCTGAGCCTTGGGGGAGAGTAGGGGATAGAGATGCCCAAAGATATTTGATTAACCCAAGTGAATTTCTAATTAGCAGAATTTCAGATGGTGTGAAGAGAAATTCTGAGAATTACGGTCGCAGAATACAACAAATATTAGCAGACATGGGCAAAGTGCTTACTTATTTTGCCTAAATACATTTTTTTAATTATAAAAAAGTGGGCTGCCTTATGGATGTCCCCTATCTCAAGTAATTGGGGGAAAAGATAGTTTTTTTAAAGTATCAATACAATATTTGGAAGTGACAAAGCAGCTCAAACACCCTCTCTTCCATAAGAAGCCTTTCTTGATCCTCCCAACTGCTGGGATCCCTCTTCTCAAACTACCTTGTATTTAACTATTTTGTATTCTCTTTATACTTATTTTGTACATATTTATGTATGCAGTTGTTTCCCCCCTAGAATGTAAGCTCCTAGGGTAGCTAGATGGCAGCTAGGCGGCGCAGTGGGTAAAGGTCTGGCCTTGGAGCCAGGAAGACCTGAGTTCAAATGCAGCCTCAGATAAATGACACTTACTATCTGTGTGACCCCGGGCAAGTCACTTAATCCCGATTACCTCACAAAAAAAAATGTAGTGATCTCTATTCTCACAGTGCTTACATTCTAACGGGGAGACAAGGACACAGATAAAGGCTGATACACTAAATATTACCCACTTGTTTGTGCATTAAGCAGACCTGTGGGAGCAAAAGCTCAAAGAAACAAGAATTTAAGCTCCTTGTGAATAGGATTTGTTTAATTCTTGGTATTTTTATCCTGAGCACCCAACAGTAGGCACTTAATGAACGCTTCTTGAATGAATGAAAGGCTCCCTGATCTTTTATTCAGAAATTTATTGATAAGCACAGACCAAGTCTAAGGTAGACTTCTCTATATATGGCTTTTAGAAATCTTACAAGAGAACTGTTCAATGACAAGAGATTTTAATTAATTATACCATAAAATAGAATTACAATTAATTGTTAATTTAGGTTTTATAGTGACAAACTTTGAAGGCTAAAAATAGTCTTTGCTCTTTAAAAGGCTTCTTAATGAGGGCAGTATACTTTAAGTACATCATTTGTTTAAACGTTCAAATTGGATGAGGGGTCCATGGGAGTTAAGCAAACATCTATTGCAATATGTTAAATGTTTATGACTTGGGATGAGGACAATTAATTGCTAATCAATGAGCTCAATCCTAGGTGAGGTCAGGTTTTGGAATAGTAGAATGACAATAGTAAATTGGATTTAGAGATCTTCAAAGTGGGTTGTAAAAATCCCAGACAAGTCTGGCTAGAGAAATAGAAAGAAGGCCAAATTGACAGGAATACCTAGATAATTAAGATATTACTCATTGAGCTAATAGTGGTTTTCAAGGAGACCCCAGCTTTGTTTCAATTAATGAACTTTAATTTTCAGAATTATAGTTCTAGGCCTCCAATACAGCTAATTTAACTAATAATTCAGGATATAAAATAATACAACTCTAGGCAGTTAACTCGATTAAAATATTTTTGAAACCTTTATTCAAACAACATTTTCAAATATGATCATGAGATAGATTGAGAAACTATTTTCCATCCAATTTAAAATTAAAATTGATTCTACTAAATGTATATATTCTAAACTCTGTTTACTGCTTCACTTAAGCACCTTATTAACTGCCATTGGTCTGTTCACATGGTGTTTCGTCTAAGTACTCATTAGTCAAATTTTTAAAATGCAGATTCACTTCATCAGCAACACTAATAAAAAGAAAACCATCCGTATTCTATGGTACCCACTAACCTTTAATTCAGAGGAAAGATTCCAGAGACATAGTTGACCCTCTTGGCTCCCTGTAACAATAGTATGTTGATCATCTGTAATCATTATGGCAGTAATGCTATGAGAAGGTGCCTTTTTCCCCCATAATGCCACTGCCTGCAGAAAAGTCTTCATAGTGTACAAAATCTGGATTAAAAAAAAAGGGTAGTAAGAACAAAAGGTCATAACATTTACTCTTTTGGGGAATCCAATTCAGGTTCTGATCACAAAGTCATCTTTAAAACAATACTAAAAAACTGAACTAAAAATTCCTCACATTCTCCTAACACCATAAATATATTGGTAGAGAATGTGGACTATCAATTATTTTGGACTTTTGCCATGTAGCCAGCCTATCTTTCAAAGATACTATATCACAATTTTTTTAGACAGTTATGACTCATTCACCCACTTTTAAACAAAATCTTGAGAAACTAGACTGATGGAAAATAGCAGAATGTATAATCCTAGAGATAAGACAGAGCTATTCAAAGAGATAAGAAAAAGTTACCTTGGCATGGAAAACTGCCTTGAGAGGTATTAGGTTCACCTCATTGGTCTTTAAGCAAAAGCTAGATAGATGTCCACTTGATGGGTATTCTGTAGAGGGGATTTTCATTCAGATATGTGATGAAATAAATGGCCCATGAGGTATCTTCTAAGTATAACATTTTATAATTCTGTGAAACTAACTTGTCTATTTTCCAAATGCAATCAGAAGTCCATGTCTCTAAAACATGCTATAACTAACCCTTCTATATCTATATCTATATCTATATCTATATCTATATCTATATCTATATCTATATCTATATCTATATCTAATCCTTCATCTTGCACACCAACCTAGCCTCAAAGCCAGCTCTGGATAGCTGTGAAGTCTGGCCTAATACCTGCTTGTATGATCTTTGGGACATTGTTAACTACCTTCTATGTAAAAACAAAAAAAATTCTCCCTACATAGATACCACCATTTTAAAAAATTTATCTATTAATTGGCCAATCAATAAGCACTTATTAGGTATCTACTATGTATCAGGCATGGGGGATACAAATATAAAGAATGAAACAATCCCTACTTGAAAAGGAGTTTCCATTTTAGTGGTGAAGGTGACAAGTACATACATAGGTATGTACAGAAAGATTTATTAAAGACCTTTTTTTTTCTCTAAGTGAAGCAATGCTCTATGCACCTTATTTTAGAGATGCTGATAATTCCTGGTAAGAGTAATCAGATAAACTTTCCTCTAGGGTAGGAAACCACTCATAGTACCCATTCATTGTCCATCCCCACAGTAGTTTTCAACAACAATCTACCAAAGTATAGACATCAGAATACATATTGGTGAAGAGAGTACTCATGCCTATAAAATCACCAGTGACTGAAGGATTGAAGAATAATGTGTTTAGTTATATGTAAAATCATAATCTATGTATCTCAACTAATGAGAATATTTGAATTCTTTCTAAATTAAATTCTAGGTATAAAACATATTTTGAATACTCACAAAAATTACAGTTGTCAGTAGTATTTCTAGACCTCTTTTCTGGTCTCTAGTATTTCATCTATCATTAAAAATCCACATAAATTTGTTTGATGACCAAATGATTCTGTATCTCCAAATATCCAGCTTCCAGGACCAAGTCAGTATTTAACTATAGCCCACATCCATTCCAATTTGGAGAGATCTACATAACTCTTTCTAGGAAATAAAGAGGGAAGGATCTGAAGGCTTGGATCCACTCCCAGGGAGATGGGGAAGGAAGGTGGCATTTTAGGATTGAACACATCCTAGGAAGGGGAGTTTTAAAAGAATGAGAGCAGTAAACAATACCCAACGGATGTCACAAGTTCCTAGAATTAACCATACTTAGCTAATTAAAATATATTGGTCACAAGTTAGAGAGACAATAACAATTCTTTTCAGGCATCCACAATACTAGTTGAGAATATAGTCCAATAAGCATTTAGTAAGTACCTACTAAATGAAAGACAGTGCTAGAGGCTGGGAGGAGAGGCTGGGGTCTCAAAGAATATGGTTCATTCTATCCCATTCAATATTTTGTTCTTCCTTAGGTCTTTCTTATTCCAAGGCTGGCTATCTAGCCACTTAATCACACTGATTGCATATATGTTAATAGTTAGTAATAAATGTTTGTTATATCTAAATATTTGCATGGAGATTTACTTCTGTCGTTCAGTTAATTTACCTGTATCTATTGATGAATAAACTGTGAGCTCACCTGACCAAAGATGCAGAGCTAAATGGGATCTGAGAAATCACTGGCTCCAACTCTTTTATTTTACACAGAAGAGAACTGAAGCTGGGAGGTTAAATTACTTACTCAAGGTCAAGCTATCATAGAAACTCAGAATTAGAAGACACTTCAATCTCACTATCTAGTCTAAATGTACAAGAGTCCCTCTAGAAAAAGAAAAACAAACAAGGACACATCTTGCCTTTGATTGAATACCTCTCATGAGAAGGAGCGCTTTACCTCCAGAGGCAGCCCAATTCATTCTCTTTTTGGATAATTCAAATTAATTCTTTTTCCTTCTATTAAGTCTCAATTGTCCTGTTTGCAATTTCTATATATTGTTGCTGCTTCCCTCCCCTCTTCCCATCCCCATCCAATATATCTTGGATGTATCTTGTTTGCATAGTTATTTTCATGTTGCCTCTACCATTACTAGATTGTAAAACCTGAAAGGAAGGACAGGGTTTTGTTTATTTATTTTGCTTTTTCTGTATCTGCAGTACTTGGCACAGTGCCTGGAACATAGTAGGTGCTTAATAAAAGCTTCGTGGCTTGACTTTTATAGGTGATAGCCTTTTAGACATTTGAGGGAAGTTCTCAAGCCCTGTTTCTTCTCAGCCTTCTCTTTTGAAGGGTAAACATCCCTAGTTCTTTCAAATGAATCTAGTAAAGCATGATCCTGAAGTTCTTCTGCTAACCTGATAACCTTTCTTTGGATACTCTCAAGATTTATTAATGACCTTTCTAAAATGCAGAGCATTTTAGGGCAGCGAGGTGACAAAATGGATAGAGCACCAGTCCTTCAGGATTCATGATGACCTGAGTTCAAATGCGACCTCAGACACATAACACATACTAGCTGTGTGACCCTGGGCAAGTCACTTAACCCCAACACCTAGCAAAAAACAAAACAAAACACAACACAACACAACAACAAAAACAACAAAAAACAAACAAAAATAAAAAAAATGTGGAGCCCAGAATGGAACATAACACTCCATATGAACCCAGATTGACCAATTCCAAAGGTAGCAAGATTCTTTCTACTAAACCACATTAGCATTAAACCATCCCAGGAGGCAAATGTCGACATTTGTTTGTCTATAGAGTAACCCATAATCATTGCACTTTTCTATGTAAAGATTTGGAAGCACCAGCAATGGCCTGTCACCTCTTGTTACTTCCTACTATCCTACTGTCACTGAAATTTGTCCAAATGTCTATGTAGAGGTTAACTAACCTTATGTAGTAGAGACAGGCATTTTCTCTTAAGACTAATGATGATACAGCAAAAGAAGACTGAGTCAAAGCAGTCTGTTTGAAACATGGAAGAAAACCAGGATAGAGCAGTGTTGTAGAAGCCAAGGGTAGAGAAAGCATCTAGAAGGAGGAAGCATTTGACATAGTTAAAAGCTGCAAAGAGATTAAATAGGCCGAAGACTGAGGAAAAAGCCTCCAAGAAGGCAGAATTCTTGATACGGTCTATTTTCCTTTATTTTTATGATCTGACAAATTGTGTTATGGGAGATCCTCACCATGCCCTTCCCCCAAGCCAGATTTAAATCTGAATGGATCTGAGAGGTCCCCTACTCTAATCCTCTCATTTTATAGGGAGGGGGATGTAATGCAGGAGAAAAAGAATGAAGTAGGAATAGTGAACTTGGAAGCATGGGGACTTGAGGTCATGTAGTTCTGCTACTTACTACCTTTGTGATCTTGGGCAAGTCACTCTACCTTGCCTCTGTTTCCTCATTTGTTAAATGAGAGTTGGATCTCTAATTGTTGTTGTTATTCAGTCATGTCCAACTCTTTATAACACTATTTGGAATTTTCTTGGGAAAGTTACTGGGGTAGTTTGCCATTTCCTTGTCCGGCTCATTTTACAGATAAGGAAACTGAGGCAAACAGGGTTACACAGATACTAAGTATCTGAGGCCAGTTTTGAACTCAGGAAGATGAGTCTTCCTGACTCCAGCCCTAGTGCTCTATATATTATGCCACCTCATTGTCCCATGGCCCTTCCAATTCCAGATCTAGGAAACTGCAGAACTGAGGCTCAGAAAATTGAAGCGCCTTGTGGTCAAGATCACACAGGCAATATGTAGCAGAGCAGAATTTCAAACAAAGAGCACCTTGAGTCTTTGGGGGATTTTACAAATCCCATGCCCTTTCTACTTTACATCATAGTGCCGAGGGGGGGGGGTCTGGACCCAGTTCAAACCAGCTCCTGGGAAATGATTGTTTAAAATTTCATTATTAGCATTTACATCTCAGAAATCAACAAGTCTGAAAATAAGGACTTGTTTTATTGATTAGCTAGACTTAAGAAAGTGATAGGGAATATGTTAATAAGGCAGATTAAATGTAAAAGTGTTTTGTGCACACATTTCTTTCCCACCCCCAAGCCCATTGTTAAACATTTACCAGCACAGCCCTGACACTGCCTCTCTAAAATTTTATCACTTCACTTTAATATAATAAACTTCATATACCATAAAATAAATTACTTGTAAATCATAAACGAAATTTTTTTTTGTATGGAGAAATACATGCATTTATATGAACTAATGTGTTTCTCACTGAGTCCCACTACCCCACCTCATCTTTTATTCTATTCTACTTATCTGAATACCTCAAGCAACTTGTAGGAGTGGTCACACCTTTGACTTAACCATCACTCTAAAGCAGGAATTCTTAACCATCTGGAATTCTGACAAAGCCCATAGAGTAATTCTTGGAATCCTGTTTTTAAATGCTTGAAATAAAATAAAATAGATAGGAATACAAAGGAAATCAATTATGTTAAAATATAGTTATTAAAGTATTTTTATGAAAAAAGTTCAGGAGCCCCAGGTTAAGAATATTGTTTACCTCTATGATCCCCCTCT